AGAATTCCCCAGCCAGCATGGCTGGCTGGGGAATTCTGGGAGTTGAAGTCCACACGTCTTCCAGTTGACAAGGTTCAGGAACACTGTTGTAGTCGGTGTGAACTTCAAGAATAAATTGGGGAGTGGGGGCAAAGTATCTCAGCCCCCTTCTCCAGGTGGAACCAGCAGTTCTCTCCAAAGGGGGTCCCTTTGTTCTTTATGCCAGGCCGTGCCTAACTCAAATACGTTTTGGCACACTGTCTGGACAACTAGCGGTGTGGATGGACTCACTGGCTAAACTACCTTAACTGGCTCGCTTCTCCTGCCTTCTGTCCTCTGTTCCCAGCCCTCCTTCCACCGCCTGCTTCTCGAGCACCCTGCACTCCTGAGCTTTGTGCCAACGGCGGAACGTGCCTCCCAACCCCCTCCGGACCTCGGTGTGTCTGTCCGGCAGGGTGGAGTGGGCAGTCGTGCCAGAACGGTACGTGATTCCCAGTTCACGGTGGGAAGAAAGCGTGGAGGGGTCTTTTGGGAGGCAGGTCAGAGGGGGAGGGGAAATGAAATGCATGCGCACTTCTGCCTGTTTGCACAACTTCCAGAGAGGAGGACTCCAGCTTCAAATTTAGATTCCAATTTTACAAATATTTACAATTGTACAAAGTTTTCCCATCTAGTCTCTGATACCTTAAACCCTAACAAATCAGGCTAAGTGGAAATGTCTACAAAAGTTTTTTTCTATACAGGTAGACCTCATTTAGCGACCACAATTGGGGCTGGCAACTTGGTCGTTAAGCGAAGCGGTCACTAAGCAAAATCATGACTGTGCTTACGATCTGACTTCAGCTTTCCTTTGCTTTACAGACCTGCAAAGGTCATAAATGCGAGGATGGGTTGCAAAGCTATTTTTTATCACCGTTGTAACTGCGAACGGTTGCTAAATGAGGCAGTTGCTAAATGAGGACTCCCTGGAATAGGTTTGTTACGTTTTCAAGGTGCCACAAATCTTTAGGGGTTCAGAATGTTTCCTTCATAATTTCAGCCTTTTTTCCCCCCTCTGTAATCCTGGGAGCAGGAGCTGTTTCACAGGTAGCATCATTGACTGCCTTTGTCTGAATTTGGAAGCTAAGCAGGGTCAGGCCCAAATAGTGTTTGGATGGGAGACCTCGATGCAATTCCGCTGGGCTGAAGGCTAGATTGGGAAGTCGAAAACACATCCTGAAGGAAAGCAGCGGCTGAACAATTCTGTACTGCTGCACAAGAACATGGCATGAATATGTGTACAAAGTCACCCAGGTTGAGGCCGAAAGGGGAGATTTTACTCTAGCCAAGAGGGCTAGAACCTTGATGTTCTTGGACCAAATTTATGTTAGGACCTTAGTTCTACATTCTTCTGGGCACGCTGAAAATTCCATAGTGAGTTCACCATCCCAGCTCGATGTAAGAGATGCCATCTGGCACATTAAACCATTTGGCGCGGTCATGGAAAGAGCGCGCCGTGCCATCCTTGTCCTCCTTAATGCATTTTCCCCCCGGAAGAAAAAAAGATCACGTTAAGAAGCTCAGGCAGCAGAAGTTTGATCCAGTCAAATCAAACTGGGTCAGCCTGTCACGCGGGCGGTTAGCTCCAGGCAACAGGGCACGGCAGCTTCCCCATCACACCCCAGGGTGGCCCTGGGCACGCTCACCGCTGGTGCTGTGCTGCCCACTAGAGGTGACCGCTTGCCTTCCGGAGCCCTGCAGCCACCGCGGGAGGGCATTGCCGGAACGGCCCGGGCGGCGTTGCGTGACTGCCCCGCTCGGGATGGGGAAGACCTGCCCGATTGGCGAGGCGACCTAACGTTCTGGGTCTCCCGAACCAGTTTCCCCCTGGTGCCGCCCACGATGCCTCCCATCCCGGCCCAAGAGTTTCTTTTCCTGCAATACTGACTCTTCCTCCTGCCTGTTTCCTTCCCGTGCAGCCCGTTCTCCGAATAGTTCAGCTGTTCGTTTCCTGAGCTGGCTAGCTTCTGAGCAGGGACGTCCGGGCGGGGGGCGGTTGTCCAAAAAGTCAAGGGGGTGACTGCAGCCAGGCAGCCCGTAGTGCCCGTGAAAGAAAAGAGTGGGCCTTCCATCACGCGGCCGTGGCCGTCTGGACTGTTTGCCCTCACCCCCTGGCGTTCAGCGGTCACAACACCTGCATAAGATCCGAATGCATTTAGAGAATGCCTCATTCCTAAAAAGAGTTGATTGTGGCAACGGCGATGGGATGTTTTGAGAAAAATGTTGGGCACGCACACGAATACTGGAGGGATTCAGGTATTTGCCAGCTGCGAACTTCCACTTTCAGGGGCAGTGTACCTGTGAATGTCACGTGGTGAGGACAGACCGTGGTGGTGGGGAGGAGGGGGAGGCAGAAGATGTCGGGCGGAAGGAAAGGCTCGCAAGAGAGCTCTCGCTTCCTCTGTTCTTCGTTCCAGATGTTAACGAATGCCACGGAAACCCTTGCCTTCACGCTCGCGGATGTAAAAACCTCATTGGGAGCTATTTCTGTGACTGCTTGGAAGGCTGGATGGGAGCAAACTGCAGCATCCGTAAGAGGGTTGATCTGGTTCATTCCGGGATTGCAGGAAGGGGAAAAGAAAGAAATATTTTGCCCCGATGCAGGCAAAGCCATTCTTGTAATATAGAGAAGCCGTGATCCTCCAGGGGCCACGAAACCAGAACCTCACTTCCCAGCATCCTTCACCACTAGCTGCGGTGTCTGGGGCAGCTGGGAACTGTAGTTCGCTACAGGTTCCCTGCCCCAGAGTTCAGTGATCTTTGGGGAGACCCAGGGTTAAGTCTGCCCTTGGCCCGGCCTACCTCCCAGGGCTGTTGTAGCCGGGGAAGATTGGAGGAAGGGAGTGCTGCATCCTCTGCCTGGAGTCCCCAAAGAAATCGAGAAATGTTTGAAGCGAACGCAGGACATGTCACAGCGTAACTGGTCTGATAACTGGGGTCTTCCGTTGCGGCTCTCAAGCACTTTATCAATAACCTGTTTTTTTCCTACGTTCTTTCTGGATAGGAATGAATTTGTGCCAAAGAAGATGCCAGAACGGAGGCACGTGTCAGGTGCGTGTGTCTAAGAACCTGCTGTCCTGGGGGGGAGGAGGAGGATATTTTTTTTATCCTGCTTTTTCTATCTCTAACTCAAGGCGGCAAACGTGCCGAATACACCGGCCTCCTCCTCTGTCCCCCACCACAACCCTCCTGTCAGGTGGGCCGGGCTGAGAGAGAGCGCGATTGGCCCAAAGTCGCCCAGCCGGCTTTTTAAACGTGTTCTCGCTGCACCTGCTGCCAAATTGCAATCGGGAAGTCGCCCCTAAATCGGGGGTCCCCAAACTCTTCAGCTCGTCGACCCCTTTATGAAGTTTCGGGTGGTTCGTCAGCCCCCAAACATTTATTACATGAAAATAATTTAATAAATGTTGCTTTATTCATTTATTTATTTATTATTAGGCGTATATGCCGCCATCTCCCCTATAAATACTACTTTAACTAATAATACTACGAATAGTAATAATCATACACAACATTGATCTCTTGGGTCAGTGTTTCTTAACCTTGTCAGCTTGAAAAGGGGGGGGCCTCAACTCCTCAAAATACCCCACACAGACGCCTGGGAGGGGGATTTTAGTGGTGTGGGGGCCCCAACTCCATCACGGACATG